TAGTTAATGCTGGAGCGCGTGCGAGTGACGGTTTAAACGACTTCCGTAAGTTGTATGCTTCTTGTTAGATGTTTTTGTGAATTTTCAAATAACCAAACAACTGTGCAGAAGCCTTCGGTTCCAAGTCTCGTGAACTATAGTTAGCAGATCAAGAACGGCTGCCTATAATCTCACTGCGCAAGTGGCACACGCACGACTCACATCCGGAATCCGTTCATTCGGCTGCCCTTCGCGCGTGTTAAGGCAGGCACTGTTGCGGAGCGATGGTTTTTTTGCCCACGCCATTCTGCGATTTCGCAACTCTGCCCCTGGCAGCAGCAGCTGATGCACTTTCATCCGAAAGAAAGCGTAAACGTCACCATTATGACGTTCAAGCTCCGTTGAATGAAAATCGGTCAACAGCTGATACCTGCCTGGGGCAAATACATAAATCGCATATTAGGTGATTTTCAAAGCAACGAATGGAAAACCGCTATGTGTAGTTCTCTATCTCACACGCACAGCAGAGGTGCCACCCAACAACTTTCCGCCAAACGTATTGTACCGCCATTCCGGACATCGTTTTGCCTTTATTTTGTCATGTTCGCTTTTATTTCTGTATACCACTTGCCAGCAAAGAACTAGAGCGCGCAACTATCCATTTATTAAGAAATAGTTACCTTACCACATTTTATTTCATTACAGGCGAACCTCAACTCCAAAAATCCACACCAATGGAATTATAAAAACCCAACAAAACAGATTAATAGATTTACTAAGATGTCAATTCTCCTCTCCTTTAAAGATTGCCATCAACCAATTCAGTCTTCTATGCAATTGCTGCCTTTTCCAGAGAAGTTTGCAATTAGTTCCAGGCAAATTTATAATATTCATTGCATCTAATATTCGAATGCAGTACACCAGGCTTCCTTCATCGATGGGTTCCCAGGAAGGTTTTATTATTAGTCAAAAACCAGTAAAAACTTTATGACATAAGGGGGAGAAGATCATCTACGCACGTTTTCTTGACTTCCCTTCCCGAAACGTTTTAACTCTAAATAGTTGCATGGCATAGTAAAAGTTAAAGATAAATAAAGTTTAAAACAGCCGCAAAAATTAGCAACATTTGAAAAACTAGTCATTTTTCGTTCCCCGAGTTTGAAAATATTTATTTGCAACGGTAAACGAAACTGCAATGCTTTTTCTGCATGACCAACAAAACTCACCCTTACCTTTTCTATGTTTGACAAGCGCGTTCTGTAAGTAATCATTAATTGTTAGGTCAAAATAAATAAAATGGAAAATCTATGCAAAAAATCGTTTATGTAAGGACAGGCGTATGACTGTCTCACAAAATAGTAGAATTATAATTAAAAGTTAAGCTAAAAAATTACCATATTAATATAAATTGGGATATAAAAAAGGCCAGTTGATAGAACAAGCATGCAAGATTATTAAACAATTAAAAAGCTTATAAGAAAGGAAAACCTTAAATACATAAAAAATACTTGTCCCCCCCTTCCAGTTTTCAGACAAATGAATTAACTATTCTTATAAATGATCGTTGCGCGCTCTCCCCAATCTTGCCTGAAATAGTGGTATACATAAAATAAAAGCCGTAATGACAAAAATAAAGGCAAAAAGATTTCCGGTAATGGCGTCAACAACGATTTGGGCGAAAGTGTTGGGTGGCAACCCTGCTAACCTCTGCTGTGCGTGTGAGACCTAGAGAACTACAAATAGCGGTTTCCATTCGTTGCTCTGAAACTCACCCTATACTGCGATTTATGCAATTCTGCCCGTGGCAGGTATCAGCTGTTCACGGTTTCATCCAATCGGGAGCTTGAACGTCCATAGTGACAGCTTATTCCTGCCAGGGGCAGAGTTCCGAAAATCGCAGTATAGTTCACACCTAAGGATGCGTAATACTACATTACGTGAAACGTCGTTTCAGAATAGGTGAAAAATAAAACACATAAAAATTTTGAACTATCAAAGAAAAAGGGATACCGGTATTAAATTATAAATATTAAATGACAATCACTCTATAATATTTTTGACTGCTTAAATAATATTGCAAATGAGTAGAAAACAACTTGATAAAAACTATTTAATCTGCTATTCAAACCTTGGGCTCAAATGGTAATAAGTTCAATACCCCTGCTGTACATGATGATCTTGTGAAAGACACAACCTAGGAAAACCCCTTTTCCATTACACCCCAAATCACGTAGTGTTTTGTCTACTCTGAACGTTTATTCACGAGATGCCACTAATCATAGCTAAGTATAATGTTGTAAGAATTGATATAAATGTTGAAAAGTATGTGAGAATATTAATGTGAATTCTTTGACAAAGAAATTCAAACAAGGTAACTTTTCATAAGTAACCGACTCACCACAATTACTGAATACCAAAAAGCTTGAGTGATTCACATGCTACAAAGTTCGCAGTAAGTCATCTCTTTTGAGTCAGTACGTCATCAAAGAATACTCAATATAAGGCATATTTTTTTTAATAGGTTAAAAGTGAACTTTTTGGCATTCCAACTACATATATCAATAAGTTTTGGTTTCATGTTGGTGGAATGACAAAAATAATAACAAACAAAAACAAGTTAACCAATGTTTGTGAAATAAATGTAAATAACTTCTACACACTGCTCATCAACCTGACACACTTCCCAATATGGTTTGGAAGAAATTTATCCAAATGATCACTCATGTAATGATCTGAGATAATATTATACAAAAATTTTACTGAGCAGCAATACTTCCCAATACTACTCTTGACACAAAATGCCTGTACCCCCAAAGCAAAGTGGTCCTATGAATAGAATATCATAAAAGAATTCTCTGTAGAACTAAATTATTTATACATCTTATCTCTCTACACCAACAACTACCTTACATAAATGAGTTTCTGGCAAAATTGTTTGGAACTCTCCTCCTGAAAATTTTAGTTGTTTTGAATCTTACTTTCAGTAATCTTCAGTCAATAACTTGGGAATGTGTTCATACATGATCATTAATACTTCCATTGAAATTATGTCTGATAAACTTTCTTTTGATTGTAACTTGAACCTCAGACATTGTCTACACAAAAAATATTCACTAACTTGATCATTGTTGTCATTTTTTATTGTCCGGTAGAATAGAAATATGTTCAATTCCAGGAAGTTAAATTAAATATTTAACTGAATACAGAAGGATATAATTCTTGTTAAGAATAAATAAATTTCTATAAAAGAACAAACTTGAGATTTATTAACAAGTCGGGTTTCAATTCAAAATTAAGACAATGTACAATAAACAAATGTTACATAATTAATGAACATTTTGAACAATAACAATAGAGCTGCTAATTGCAGGTTCTATATGCATATAAAATATGGAAATATTTAAAAATTGAGAAAAATAATGAATACATAATATTCCTGGTATTTTCCACTTAGGCACAATTTCTAGACACCAACTATACACGCAACACAGTGAACTCGTAAGTTAAGTCAATCATAAGTTAAGAAATACGTAAGGAAGTAAAAGTACAGAGGGCACCACACAAATTTTACCTTTTATATTAATGTTTTTAAATATAAAAATACTAGGAGTTTGTAGAAAAACTGTACAAAGGTATGTACAATGGTAACCCTATAAATGAAAATCAACATTTATCCTTAAGCAACATTTAAGGACATCAGAAAGCAAAACATAACGCATGTTTCTGTAATTTCATATATTCTATTTCTTTTTTTCTTTTCTCAGTAACATATTTTTCAGTAACTCATCTGTTAAATTTTTCAATCCATCAGACTTTTCTTTCACTTCATGTTTTTTTCTTGGTTTTGAGCTGTCAACAGTCTCTTTTGAATTATTAGTTTTTTTCCCTTTCCTTTCATTTGTATGCACAAGAGAATTATCACCATGTTTCTCTTTGGAAGCCTTCTTACTCTCCTCCATCTTACCAGTTTTCGAACTCTTCAGGGGAGGATCTAATATTTCCGTTTTCATTTTTGCTAATAAACCTTCAACAATTGAATTAGTTTCACTTCCACTAGACTTTGTTTCCTTTGATCCTAAGTGCTGCGAAACACGTTTTGATGCTTTAGTATCTTTCTTTTTTGTAGTGGATATTTTACTGTCTGGCTGAGAAGTCATTTCTGTTCCTGAGCTTTTTTTGTCAACTGAACTAAATGATTTATGTGGGGAGAGAGGTTCTAGCTTCACTGGAAGTGTTTTGGTCATCAAATGAGAGGAAGGATTTGAAATAGAATTACTACTTTGCAAGCCAGATTTTTTATTTGAAGTGGAGGATTGCTTTTGTTTCATTATTTTGGCTACCTTGGATAGAGGCAAATCAACAGATAAAGGTAAATCTGAGTCAGAACTACCTTCACACTTATGTTTTTTATGTGAAACAGGGAATTGCTTTTGCGTTGTCATTTTGATTGCCTTTGATAGAGGTAAATCCATGGATAATGGTAAATCTGAATCAGAACTACTGCTGCACGAGTCAGGTTTTTCACGTGAAACAGAGACTTTATTTTGTGGTGTTATTCTGGCTGCCTTGGATGAAGGTAGATCTGAGTCGGAACTACTACTCTCTGATCCATGTTTTTTATGAGAATCAAGAAGTTGCTTATGTGTTATTGTTTTGGCAGCCTTGGATGGAAGTAAATCCTTGGATGAAGGTAAATCAGAGTTGGAACTACTTACTCGTCAGAGTCTGTTTTTTTATGTGAAACAGGCACTTGCTTTTGTGTTGTTTTGGCTGTCTTAGATGGAGGCACATCCACGGACAAGGGTAAATCTGAGACAGAATCACTGCTGTCATGTTTTCATACGGAACGGGGACTTCCTTTTGTGTTTTTTTTGGCAGCCTTGGATGGAAGTAAATCCCTTGATGAAGTAAATCAGAGTCGGAATACTACTGTCCGAGTCATATTTTTTAGTGAAATAGGCACTTGCTTTTGCGTTATTTTGGCTGTCTTAGATGGAGGCACATCCACGGAAAAGGTACATTCAGAGTCAGAACTACTGCTGTGCGAGCCATGTTCTTGATACGAAACAGGGATCTGCTTTTGTGTTATCTAGTTTGGTCGCCTTGGATAGAGGTAAATTTGAAACACTACTACTTACAGAGGCTTGTTTTTTATGTGAAACAGGGACTTGCTTTTGTGTAGTTGTTTTGCGCTTTTGGATAGAGGAACATTCATGGACAAAGCATAAATCTGAGTCAGAACTTACTGCTGTCATGTTCTTGATGTGAACAGGAACTTTCTTTTGTGATTTTGTTTTGGCTGTCTTAGATGGAGGCACCTCCACGGACAAAGGTACATCAGAGTCAGAACTAGCTGCTGTGCGAGCCATGTTCTTGATACGAAACAGGGATCTGCTTTTTGTGTTACTAGTTGGTCGCCTTGGATAGAGATAAATCGAAACACTACTACTTACAGAGGCTTGTTTTTTATGTGCAACTGGGAACTTGCTTTTGTGTAGTTGTTTTGGCTGCTTTGGATAGAGGCACATATTCTGGACAAAGTAAATCTGAGTCAGAACTTACTGCTGTCATGTTCTTTGATGTGAAACGAAACTTTCTTTTGTGATTTTGTTTTGGCAGTCTTGAGATGGAGAAAATCTTGGAATGATGGCACATCAGAGTCAGAACTACTGCTGTGTGAGGTCATGTTCTTGATACGAAAACAGGGATCTGCTTTTGTGTTACTAGTTTGGTCGCCTTGGATAGATATAAATTCGAAACTACACTTACAGAGGCTTGTTTTTTATGTGCAACTGGGACTTGCTTTTTGTGTAGTTGTTTTGGCTGCTTTGGATAGAGGCACATCCATGGACAAAGGTAAATCTGAGTCAGAACTACTGCTTTCTGTTCTTGATGTGAAACAGGAACTTTCTTTTGTAATTTTATTTTGTCAGCCTTGGATGGAGATAAATGCTTGGATGATGGTACATCAGAGTCAGAACTACTACTGTCCGAGCCGTGTTCTTGATAAGAAATAGGGAATTGCTTTTGTTTTGCTTGTTTGGCCGCCTTTGATGGAGGTAAATTTAAATCTACACTACTAACAGATGCTTGTTTTTTATGTGACACAGGGACTTGCTTTTGTGTAGTTGTTTTGGCTGCCTTGGATGGAGGCACATCCATGGACAAAGGTAAATCTGCATCAGAACTACTGCTGTCCTGTTCTTGATATGAAACATGAACTTCCTTTTGTGTTTTTGTTTTGGCAGCCTTGGATGGAGGTAAATGCTTGGGTGATGGTACATCAGAGTCGGAACTACTACTGTCCGAACCATGTTCTTGATACGAATTAGGGAATTGCTTTTGTTTTGCTGGTTTGGCTTTCTTGGATAGATGTAAATTTGAATCAACACTACTACTTACAGGGTCATGTTTTTTATCCATTCCCTTGCTTTTCGGCTTGTCAAATATATTCTTTTTGACAGGAGACATTGGATCTTGCTTCTGAGGATTAAGATGTGGTCCTCCATCCGTTATCTTCGACTTTCTCGTTCCTTTCTTATGCGTGTTGCTACTGCTTACCTTAGGTTCATGTGGTACATTTCCACTCTGGGTAGTTACTGATGATAACTTGGTGGGTTTTTTAAGGAAGGTTGGCAGGTCAGAATCTGTGCTATCAGCATCATTAGATTCACTACGCTTATGCTTTGTATTGGTAAGAGTTCTACTTTGTACTTTCATTTGTTTGTCGGAGAAATACATTTTCTTCTCTTTTCCTGCTGCATGTTCATTACTCTTTACACCATCACTTTCTTCATCAGTCTGCACTCCTTTTGAAATCACTGATTTCGGAGAACATATTTCCGTAGATTTAATTGTAGATATTCGTAGCTCCTTGTTGTGTTCACGAGAATGAGATTCTGAATCACTAATGCTAGAATCTGCTCCAGAAGATTTGGAATGGCGTTTTTGGTTCATGCTTTGAACAGTCATGTTCTGCTTTGAAGTAAAAGGAGAAAGTCTAGGTACAAGCATATTGTTGCTGATGTTATCAATATCTGAATGTTTACCACGTTTAGTAGTAACATTGGTGGAGTTTGTAGCATCTATGCCGTTACCTGAGATTTGTGATTTCCTTTCCTGAGAACTGATAGGTGATGCAATATGGTCTTTACTTTCTTTCTTTTGTTTCACATTTTGAGGTACATAACTAAGTGAAAATTCTTCTACATCAAATGAATCTGAATCAGAAAAGGAATTTCTCACAGAAACTTCATTAAGATCATTACCAAACGATACAGCATTGGAAACCATCTTCTTAGTTTTAGAACCTTCAATCTGGGTAGATGTAATGAATCCTGAGGGTTCTTCTTCTTCTTCTTCATTATCATTATCATCATCATCATCATCATTATCATCATTAGATTTCTTAATGGGAGACAAAGATTCAAAACCATTATCACCAGCACCACTGTAGTGATTTTCTTGCAAACGATTTGAACTATCTATGGTGGTACTATTAATTATTCTTTTTATTTTAGAGTTTTCTGAGAAAGACTTGTCTTTTTTACCAAAATATTCATGTACTCTGGAATCCGACACTTCACCATGCTCCGGACTAATTTTTTCGTTCTTCTTTTTCTTGACAACTGGTGTTAACTGTACAGCTTGCAAAATGCTTTGTTGAGGATGTTGCTCTTCTGTGGCACAATGCTCTGAAAAAGAAGTGAGAGTCTGCAAAGGATCTTTCTTACCCTTTCTTAATGCTTTCTTTCTTTGTTTAATTTCATTTGTGAAGTTTGGATTTTGCTTCTTTGGGGAAGAAACAGAAGATTCATTCTGTTGAACATCTACTTCTGATATACCCTTCTCTTTTCTCTTTTTACTTTTCATTGCATCTTCCACTGTCTTATTAATAATTTCTGCAACATTAAACTCTCTTATTTTCAATTCTCCCTTTTCTTCAGATATTCTTTTTTTTCTTTTTTGAGGACTACCCTGGGCTTTCTCTTCAGAATGTTCTCCTTTGCCAGTAATGTAACTTGTGTTCTCTTGCTCATTCAAGGCCATTTTGTTACTTTTCTTTGACTTCTTCCGATTGGGTGTCTCGTTACTTTGCTCTTGATCATGGTGGTTTTGTTTAGTTATCCATGTTTCATTCTCATTCCTGCTCCCTTGTTTCTTGATCTTTTCATGAATATTGCTTGCATTACACGTTCCTGGTACCTCTTCTAAAATTTCATGTTTTTTTCTCTTCTTTTTAGTTTTTAAGTGTGAAGCTGAAAGATCATTAATTTCTTTTGATATTTCATCTGCTTCCATTAACTTTGAAGAATTTTCAAAAGCAGCTTTGTTTTTTGTCTTTTTTGAATGGACTTTAAAATCTTGTAAAATGTTGAAGTCTTGCTCTGGTTCATCTGCAAAATCATGAACTTGATCTGTTTGCTCAGAATGCTTTTTCTTCACTTTTTGATTACCAGTTGAATCAGAATCAATTTGTCTACTGTCTTGAATTTCAACTTCAGTTTCTGGTTCATTGCCAAGTGAACTGACAGACGGTTTTTTCTTCCGCCGAGAAGGGCTCTCTTCCAAAAATGAGGCTTCGTTCTTCTTTTTCTTTTTGGCTTTGCCTTCAGTAGTATTTGTTTCATTTGGAGCCTCAGGTACATCACCAAAAAACGATATTCTCCTTGCAGGACTGCTCTCAACACCAAATGGAGTAGTTTTTTTAAGAATAGAAGTAGGAAATTTAATAGGTGGTGTAAAGGTATTAACATTATCTTCTGCACATAAGGGGGAGTCAATTTCCAATTTCATCTTTTTGCACACTTCGAGCTGGTCACTCCTTTTCCTTTTTTTGCCATCGGAAGCCTGCTTACCCGGAGATTGTGCTCTGGAAAAAGAAAATTTAAATTACAGAGAATAATGATGACTTGATGAACAACTCTGGAAGACTCCTTATTTTTTTATTCAAGCTCTTATGATGACAAATCTGATCTCTAATTCCCTGACCATTCATTTCCAGTGTGGTTATAAAAATTGCAGTTCTATACCTATATAAAGGCAACAAGAGTTTCAGAATATCTGAAAAGTGCAATACCTCTTTATGTTTTGAAACTTCTGGGGGAAAATTTGGAGCTGTCATTAGAATATTTTTCAAAATGTGCAATTTTGGGATAATTATTCACTGAAAAACTTTGAGTGTGTTTGAGAAAGCTTAGAGAAACTTCATATCACAGAGAGATCATTTGAATAATTTGTGACAACAAAAAGCATTCAATTATGAATTATACCTGCAATAATGAGCAAAATATTTGGGGGGGGGGGAATGTGCCATGGAAATTTTTAATACATATTATTTGCTTATATTATATAGTTCGAAGGCTGTTGTTTATAAGCCATGTTTTGATATTGCTACAATTATTCAATCACATGTGTAGAGAATATTTTTTTTTCTTTGCCTTTTTTCAATTTTTATGTCTCTTTGCACTTCCTATTAGCTTTGTATGGTCATAGTGCCTATTGAAATAGCCATGAGCAATGAATATCATTTTACAGGAGAGAGATACAACAGATCTTACTTACAATTACTTTTCTTTGTTGAGCTTGTTAATCCACTGTTTTATTTCTTACAATTAAGATACCATTATCTGTGGATACCATATACTATGGATTAGATTTATGTTTCATATTATCTGACATACTATAGTATGTATTCTTCAAAAAGTGGGAAGAGGTGACTTCGTATAGAAAGAGGCATGAACCTGAAGAATATCACACTGAGGGTGAGAAATAAAGGAATATGCTGATTGGCTGTTGAACCCTCTGTATTACTTTAAATCGATGTTGTAATACACATCATTATGTTATAAATGTAACGGTTTGTAATGTATACATAACTAATTTTTATAAAAAGGACAGTTTTGCATGTGCAACAATGATAAAAACTTTCAACAGGAGTGGCAAAGGTATAGCCTTGGTAAAGAACAAAATTTATTGGAATTGCTATTTTGGTCCTTCCATCAAATTTTAATTTCAGATTTCTTATTTAGACTCTAAGTGGCTTTTATTAGGCCACTGTCATTGCTATCCTGGTTCCAGATTTTGCCAGTTTTTTCATGTTTATTGATAAATTTTCGCATTATGCACACAAAATATTGACAAATTTTGTACACATCATCTTTTAACATCACTGAGAGTAAAAATAGCATCAACAGCATCACAATCTTTCTGTATAAGCCTCATTGTTTTTCTTTATAATTATAAGGATTTCCTAGTTATCAAAGTGGTATTGAAAAATGATTGGGAAATTAATAAGTTTAATGACATGCACTATGATAACACAACTACAATGTACTCTACATTGCTCATATAATGTTTAGTGAACTGACAATCGCCTTATTTTCTGACATGCCAGACATTTAACTCTAGAAGTGATCTGAAATGGAAACAGTATATTATTCTTGCATTGAAAACAAAACATGTATGAGAAGAGAACATGTTACATGCATTAAGGTTCTGTAATATTAATTTCTTTTGTTTTTTTCTTTTTTTACACAAGTTGTACAAAACCACCATTCAAGGGCATTGAGCAGATAGGTCATTCCATATCAAATGGTGGAAACGAGTTCCCTGAAAATATCATAGATTTTGCTAAAACCTAAAATATTGCTAAATCCTTAAATTTTCAACTCCATGTAAACTAATAGTAGGAGTCAATTGAAATTGAGCATTCAAAAACAATAATCAAATATTTTATGTTAATTTCCTTATCTTATTTGCATATACATAGTATAAATTATACAATGTTAAAGTTCCAATTTCTTTTTAACATTTCATTTTTTCAAGTTTACTCCAATTCCAGAGAATTAATAAAGCCAGAGTTGATTTCAGATTCATTAAATAGAGCAGAAAAATTATATAAGCATCCTCAATTTCATTTGTTCAGAAATAACAATAGGACTTGAATATTTTGACAACTTATGGAAACCAATTCCTTTTTGGAATTCTGAAAATGAAAGGAATTTGTTTCCCTCAGAAGTCAAAATCTTCAAGTTCTATTTCACATCAATACTTCAAAGTTTCAAACCAACAGTTGTACATCCAAAATTTTTTAACCTGAGAAGCTACAATTTTACAAATGTTCCTTCGAGACTTGTGGGACCTAGGAAATTTATTAAAGTCCATGATGATTTTGGAAGGAACTTTTCCCAAAATTGTACTCCTTGATATGTAATGACATAGAATAATGATATAATGATAATGTAATGATACAGGATATTCACAATTAAAAGAATTTGTTCTTGTGACATCATATTACGCATGCTGCTGTTGTATTCATATTTAACTCCCAATGAATTAAATATATTTACATACTCACCGAGAATCAATGAGTTTTCCTTTTATGAAAGGAATTGGATGTGAAAAATCAACCACTACAACACAGAACGTCAATGTTTGCCCAATGCTTATATTGTCAATATCAATTCCTTCATCTGGTTCTATAGGAATGGATACATTAAATATATCATGAACTAAACAGCCAATGTTGTCTCTACTCTTCTTGTTTACGACACCTAAAATAAAAATGTATTAATAACAATGAGAAAAAATAATTAGAACGTGCCTCAATAGGGAAAGAAATTGTTTTGATAGAGTACTTCTATGGAATAACATGCCACAATCCTCAACTTGGAGAGCCAATGCAAAAGCATCAAGAGTTCCTTCCCCTACAGCAGAGGATCCCGAAAACTTTTTTGTCAGAACATCAATCCCATCAAAGCATAGTCTTCCATGGCTGGAGTCAGTATGAACTTGGCTGTCTGGTCGATGTGCCATCCTATAGGCACAACCTTTCGGCCACCATGTTGTGACCTTCAAGGTGAAAAGCAAACAGTGTCTCTGTGATAGCCAAGTAGATACCACTTCAATTCCTTATTTGTTGGTATACTTATACCTCCATAGCAATTGGTTATCACAATTGTGAGTCGCACTCACCCTCTTTACCCTGACATCAATCTCACCTACAAGAGATGGAGCATGTTCTACTGAATATTCTAGTTCAACAGTTCAGAGCTCTTTTAGATGAAAGAGTAGTTGGAATAAAGATGCTGTAAAGGATTTACTTAAACAAGACCATTAGAATCTTGATACATTTCTAATGTGCTGTACCATGCACAAAATTGACGTCCCTACTATGTGGAAGACCAACCTACACTTTTCAGGATTCTTACCCATCTCTTATTACAATCAAATAAAATAATTGCCTTGAGATAAATAAAAATGGGGTCTAATAGACCCACATCAAGATCACATGTGAAAGAAATGGTAAATTGGAATTGATATGAGACACGAAACAGGATGCCTGCTGTTTCCTTGAATCCGTTCCCATTCAACAAAATATCATTTTATAACACTGCTGAAAAATTTTAATACCAAAACTGAGAGAGAGAAAAAACAACAGAAAACTATTTTGAAACAAAAGTCTAAAGTTATTTTCTTAGACCATTGGATCTATGAAAATTGTTCCATAAGTAGAAAATTTTGTTTAAACATTAAAAATTTTGTGAATTTTATACGATTAGTGATGGTATAAGTAAAAAAGATTATATGTTATTTCCAAATTGTTCTTCATTAACTACAAAAGGGTGATATCTACTAAAAATTAAGTTTTCAAATATCTTTTTAGTTTGTACCACCAGATTTGATGTAAAAATGTGAACACTGAAAGTGTCTGATCCAATGGCAATGCTAAGATAGGAATAAGGTTGCCACCTGGCACTTTAAATATGAGATATAAATTTATAAATGATGGGTACACTTTTATTCAATTGAGAGAAACTACCAGAAAAAATTCAAAACATATTTCGCAAAACTCTTTACATGCACAGATTTGTGTGCAAGTATTGTGTGCTAGATGAACCAGTGAGAAAATTTCCATACTAACTCTCTTGCATGTTTTGATGCCCAACATGTTACTTCATTTGGGAATCATTCACCCATAAATTATTTCAGAATCATCCCATCTCTTAAAGCACTTGCTTGAACTGGCAAATTTAACAAAATGTAAGTTTCTGCAGCGAGCTCACCATATATTCAGCAGCCAGGTGGTTCAACAGTTTATATATCCAAAAACTTTAAAGAAACTGACCATTGTGAAAAGTATTTTAGTATAAAAAATTCACATCAAATTAGAGGATTTGCAGCAAAACCTAGATTCAATGGTAAATGTTCATTTTGCTAAAAAATCTGTGTATGGTTTAGGCACTACCGTTGTGCACTTGTATAGTTTTTTAAGATGGAAAACCTACCTAAAAGATGAATTTGGCCTAGAAGGTGCATATCTCCATACATGTAGAGAAGTCAAATGATTACCATGTAGCAGATACACGGGGCAGTGGGAACATACTCCTTCACTTTAAATAAGGGATATAAATTTATAAATGACAGGCAGCAAGTAATTTTAATCACTTTATTCAAACTAAATACCACAATATATACAGTATTCCCCTTATGTATTTCCTCACATACTTTTTTATTTCAAACTAACAATTAAAAAAATATTTCAAAGATGTTAATGAGGTGTCCGAACTGAAATTGCTCTCCTCCTAAATTACTTTCTGGATCCACTTCTGCGGTTACCTGACCCCACAAGCCCTTTCCTCATGCTGTGTGCCACTTCACTAACCTGACCCAAACCCACTGGCATCTACTCACCCAGGGTAGAAGGGAAGATTTTGCTACTCCTCGCACAGCACAGAGTGGCATTTTGAATTTCCATTTTTTTCCGAATAAATGATTAATAGTGGGAACTAAAATATTTGTGATTGTAGAAGTTCCTGCACACTTATGGACCATGATCTTCAATTTAAGACCAGTTCTTGTTCACTCCGTTTAGCCGATTGTTCTCTCTAGAGCCTGGAAGTTCTGGCATTTATTTTACCCAAAATAGGCATGCAAAAAGGCATTTATTTGTACTAAAATAGATATATAAAAACCAGAGGCGTAACTTAGTGGGGGCAGCAGAGGTGGCAAAATTTCATAACAAATACTTTATTAATTGGTATAGGCAATGTTCAATTAAAATATATAATGTACAAAACCAAATCCAAATTAGTTAAATTATATAATAATTTCTCTTTCGCTAAAAACTTAAATTTCAGAACAAAAACAGACAAATCAATAATTGCAGTATTTGCTATTTTACACATACCCCAAAGGAGCACATTTTGATAAGCATGTTTTACAAAACTGTATATTAAATACAGCTGGGTTAACATTGCAAAGTTTGGATATAGCAGCTTTCCATAACAATATTTTAATAAATCAAGACAATCAATACGGTAGTTGCATAAATTATACAAAAATAAATAATCGACACGCATTCTATGAGGATTTAATGAGCGAAGATCCAGTATAGTTGCAATTTCATTATAATCACGTGAGACATATGGTTATGGCAATTTCATTTTATAACAAACAAAGTTAAAAACTTATGCGGGATAGTTTCAACCCTATTTATATGAACGTGAAAAAAGGGAGACTAGGCTGGCGATGCTTGTAATAAAATAGGACGGACAAGATTCGATATAAGATTTTAAATGACATGGGAATTTTGAAATCTTCAACCATTCTTCTCATAAATACTAGAATCTTGTTTGATTTAGATATAACATAGTCAAAATTATAAAAAACTCTTTTTAGGATCATAAATCAAACCCAAATATTTAAATTTTGTTACTCTTTCAAGTGAACGATCATCAAGGTCATAACAGAAATCCAATATGTGTTTAGATCTACAGAATGATAAATATTTAATTTACTAGTATTACGGTCCAGAATATTGTGAGTATGAAAATTTTTTAATGATTTCGATCACATTGAAAGAAAATGACTTCAGAGTACAATTTCAAGTCATCTGCAAATAATAAAAAATTACTATTTGTTAGTATGTGTTTCAGATCATTGACAAACAATAAGACCAACAGTTCCAGATAAGTTCACTGAAGAACACCAGAAGTAACAAATATTTCAAATAATAATAATAATATATTACAAATATTTGAACCATTCCATTTTATATTTTGCTGCACTTATGATTCGGGCCTATTGAAATGAGCAAGAAATCTTTCATTACTTATTCTGTAATGACTTCTTTAAATGAATGTATAATAACGACATCTTACTCATTGTACTAATACATTTCCAACATACACACAACGAGATGCATGAAGGCTGACAGAATTTGAATCTGAATGCATAACATAATGAACTTAATTTAGTGTTTAATTCTGTTATATGCACATTCCATTTGAGGTTTGATTGAATTGAGAGACCTAGAAATTTTGTTACTTTAACATCAGCTAATTGCATATTGTTCATTTTCAATGGAGCATGTAAATGCTGACTTGAAATGCAAAAATTCATTGAAACTTTTTCCTTCATTAACTATTAATTTGTAATTACAAAAACAATTTGAAACGTCTGAAATCATACTATTTATTCTTTCTTTTTTGCAAAGCACATTCATGTCATAAGTAAACAGAACTATTCTTCCACTGTTAAAAGATGAGGGAATATCGTTTAGGTATAAAAAAAAAATAATAGGACCTAAGATCGATCCTTGCAGAACCCCATGTCCACTTGGTAGAGAATTGGACAGATAAGTAAATAATGTCCCTTTGTGCCAATATTGTATTTCTACTCTTCGATGTTTATGGCACGAGTTTATCCAATCCCACGGTAACATCATGAATTCCGTATGAAGGTAATTTTGATAGCAAGATGTTTTGGTCAATAACATCAAAAGCTTTTGAAAGATCTAAATATATTGCAATGAGTGCTTCACTGATGAAGAAAAATCTTTAAGAGAAAAATGGCAGTTTCTGTAGATTTTCATTTTCTTAAAATAGTGTTGGAGAGTCTGAAAATGCTTGGTTCTTCCCGACAAATGTTTCCATTCATATACAGAAAAGCCTCTCTAATATTTTTGAGAAAACTGACAAAAGAGAAATTGGCTGGTAATTTTTTATTTTATTTTATTCCTTTTTTTCTAAAAAGTGGCTTAATTTTCAGTGTTTTGAAAATATCTAAAAATACTCCTGTGCATAAAGAAGCATCTAAAATGAGAGTTAACAGATGAACAAAGGCAGGTGCAGAAGTTATTAATAAACAATCCAAAAATTCATTTAATCCAGATAAATATTTATCTTTTAGTTTATTAACTATTCTCAGGATTTTGTAAGAAGTTCTGGAAATTAACATTGTGCTAAAAATTATTGGGAAGCATATAATGATGAATTTTGTGGTTTTAGCTCCTTTGTGAGGACAATTGCAAATTCTAGAAAAGTGTTAGTTGAAGAGATTTGCACCTTTTTCTGAATTACTTGCTTCTCTTTCATTATCCTTCAAAACAACATTCTTTACAAAGTCTTGAGATGATTTTTTATATTCCACATTGCTTTAGTATGAATACTAGCGTGAAATAAAAGCTTTGAGAAAAAACTCTGTCTGTGTGGATCAGGGCATTGAGCAGCAGTATCTTTTGGGTAAATTCAATATTAAGAGCCTGGCTGGCAGGAGGAAGCTAATCATGATCTCTTTTTTCATTAAAATTCTCATTAACATTATTTGTTGTTTACATGATCATGACCAGATCTCCTGTTTGATCCACAGCATACACCACTCTTACAAGCCTCTGTATAACTACACTTACAGATAAACTTCTTGTTAATTTTCCTTCTTGTAAAGTGATCGATAATGTTAATAATTTTCAGTTGTGACTATGACTTGTGAATTATTCACAAAATTTGATTAACTTGCAGTAACAAAACTGATTTATTTGTGAACTCTTTCTTCCATTTGTCATTCTGAGATGAGATACGTAGCTGCCATTACAAACTAGTTGATTTTTTGTTTTTTTAAGACACTCATTGGGTGTATTAGTGCTAGCTTTATCTATTTTAAATAAATTTTCATTATCACATCATGAGTGTTAATTACTGCTTACGTTCTGTTTACAAAAGGACTACATAATATTGCAGACAACCAGATATGGTATTTTTTAAGAGTCTGTCACCTCTATCTTACTATTATTTATCACATTACATTATTCTTTCCTTCTGCCTTCATTCAGGTTTGTGTCAAATGCCCATTTTTTGACATGACCAACTGTTTCTCTGTATACTTGCTGCATTTCAAGTTCTCTATGTGAATTGCTTTCAGTTTTCCATTTCTCCACAAATCTATTACCCTCTCAAAAATGTTCCTTCATTTCTACCAAATGTATTCTTGAAATATAAAAATAAAGGATACTAGAATCTGAATTATTAATATGTACATCATAATATCCTTATAGCACATAAAATATTGCACACAATTTTTAATAGTTTTTTGTATATAAAACAATCGTTTTCAAAATCGCACCACTTTAGTCCTCAACAAACTACTCAACTGGTACAATGTTAATACAGAAAACTGATTAGAAAATTTACAGAAGACTTTAATGATTAACAGGCCACATTATCTTCTTTCAACTTGTTATAAAAACTTAGCCTCTAGTATCCAACAATAACACCATTTCTTCTTCATAAGAAAGTTGGTACGGCATGGTGCCTAAGAATTATATCTTATTTTAGAATGTAAATATTGAATAATCGAAATAACACTGAACATTATTAGCCTGACAGAAGATTTGCCCTTTCAAAACAAGACATTTTCATCAAATATTTCTTATAATCTTTCAGCAATAAAGCATGCTTCCAAGATAATTAACTGAGCAAACTTCCAAACCCTAAATTTTATGGATACTGAACGGTGGAAATCATAGATACAAATGTAAAATAAGCACTTCACACAAAAGTCATTTCCTCATAACTATACACACCTGAAAGTAAGCTGTCCTTCTCTGGTTTAAATAAATAAAATTCAGCTTCAATATCAAGGTGTACATGGGGAGAGTCATCCACAATGGTGCCCAAATTCGTGAGAATGCTAACATTCCGACATCCTAAAACCACAGCATCCAGCCTGAAATACACAACACAATTGAAGAGGATGCAGAATTAAATATTCACTTCAAATTCACAAAACATTATCTTACTCTGGATCAAACTTTCTGACTAGCCTGTTCAAGTGAACAAGAACGGAGTCATTGGTGTTGTTTAAAGCTTTAGGAGTGAGAGCTATATGTCGTTTAGACTTTCGGAGAAAAACACACGCATTAGGCTTTTTCAACAGCTTGCTTAAATCTGTTGCGTTAAAACGAGAAGTTACCATCTCGCTAGTGTTCGAAAACGCCAGTACAAACGCAATGCCCGCACTGTGCAGCCACGGAGCTGACGGGAATTTTACAAACGCTGGGAGCACGCTATGCTGAATTTCAGACTGCCGCATAGTACCAGCACAACCACAGAAACACAATAGTCTTGTATATTTTAGAACACTAAGCATAAAGATATTATTTTTTATAAATGTTATTTTCTTGTACACGTCTTACCTATAAGATACTTTTTTTGTTAAATGTAGAACACTTTTAAGAAAATAAAATATAAAATGTTATGATTTTTTTATCACGTTGGCAACGTCTTACGGGTGATGACTTTCATTTATTTCTACTTTCCCGCACGTTTCGGGCGTTTTAGTTCTGGCTTCACTAGATGAATTAGGTCGAATGAATTAATGTTATGTTATTACTTAAATTTACGGTGAACTTCCGAATTGGCAGTATTCAGTTTCTAATGCAGTCTAATTCACTATGTGAGAAGTTCCATTGGGAATCACTAAACACTCATGAATAAAATTTATTTTTTTGAAATATGTCCCATCCTTCAGACAAAAGGTTTCAGAATACGTCGTTTTGCGATATATTTGCAGCAGATGAAACAGGTACGTATTACATTAGTTCGAAATAAATTCAGAATTATTCAGAGTGCAATTTTTTTCTGTCACTTTGGGTAAGAGTGTGTCATGTAAGTTAATAGACAATATTTTTTCACAGGCGTTGCTGGTGACAGTTCTCCTGACAGTACTTCGGGAAATGAATTTGTGGCTGAAAATGAAAGCTTCAGAAGCAGCCCAGTTTTGGAACCTCAAAATCTTAGCCCATTATTCAAGACTCCTATTAATAGATGTATTTGGAAAAGGAAATTGTCTTCTTCCTCAGACATTGCCCTAGAGTGTACGAAGGATGATGTAATTCATTGCCCATTTTCTTCTACTCCTGTGCCATCATGTAGTAGGTTGGAAAAAGAAAGGTAAATTTGAATGAAATTATCTACTGTAAAGATTTATACTTAAAAAGAAATTACTGTAAAGTCAGTAAATGAACTGACTTTAATTATTGGGAAAGAATGCTGGAACCATGATTTAATGCTCCTGTAATAAATATGCAAACATCTGCTTCTGTTGAGCTGAGTAATGTAGAAAATGTTTGCATGGTTACTGTAACTTATGTGGGTACTATGGCATAGCATAGCAAAAATGAAATAATAAACATGTTCTAGCAGTGGTGATACTGATCGTGTTCTAGCAGTGGTGTCTAAAAATCTATAGTAATTTCGGTGATATTTGTTTTATGTGAATATTAACACAAATTAATGAGTTTGTAGTGATAAATAGAACATTAAATATCTTTTGCATGGATTATAAGGATTAGTATTTATTTCAGCCCTGGTTTGAATCTCATTTTTGCTACGGAAGAAACATTTGGCACTATTTCTTCACTTGTGGATAAAAAAGATGTGTCATGGACCAGCTCAATGGCAACTCCTGTCCATGATGCTCAGTCGACATCTTTCAACACAGAAGAAAAGAAACTTTTAATGCCCAGTGAAAATGATAGTGAACACTCTTCAGCTCCTTTGTGTTCTGCTAATGTGAGTAATAAAATAGTAACTTCACTTTATTTCCTTGATATCAAGTTAACATCATTTTCTCAAAAAATGTGATATTCTTTTTGTATGTTTTAAAGGGATTGCCAATTGTCTTTCTGAATGGCTTCCATAGTGAGAGAAGTTACTAAATAATGATTTTTCCATGTTACTCTCACTTAGTTCATTAGAATAGTTCCTAAGTTAAAATAATTTTTCTTAAAACCCCCAACAAATCTTTCATAACTTAAGTTACAATGGAGAAGAGTGTGGTTTTGATCTTGATTGTAACCGTAGGCCTCTTTGTTTTCTCCTTGAGACATAATATATTTGTGGTGTTAATGCAAAAAAAATCATAAAGAAATAATAGGTATGTTTGTTGTAACTTATTAAGTTCTCAGAGTTACTGACAAAAAGCAAGTCTTTTGCAAATAAAATGTCTAATAGGAAAATCAAATTGCTAATGCACAAGAGAAATGGCTCTTCTTAACAAAAGGAAAAAACAGAAAAAGAAAGGTTGGTGAGAAGGTGGGGAGAATTAAAATTGGTCAAGAATGCAAAAGTTTCTCTTTGTGCTGGATGCAAAACAATTTCACTATGGCCTTCACACATATCACATGTCATAATAACCTGAGCTGATCAAGAAAATAATAATTTACCCAGACCCAGATAAGCTGTAAGTCTATGAAAGTGCCATGGAAAATTACTTGAGGAATATAAGGCAGCTGAGTGGTAAGAAAGGCAGTCTGAAGGATAGACCCAACACTTCCAAGATAGGGATACTACTACTAATAAAAATAGTTTAGAAAGAGGGGTGTGATACACTTTTTACTTAATAAAAAAAGACCTTTCTAAAATAAGACTGCTAACGTGCGGATAATATTCTTTTTGGTATTTTTATAACTTTTAAGCGTCAGATGAATTTGTAGTTCAAGTCTTTTGTAGCTAACATCCATGAGATCTTGGCTGTCTAGAACTTTCCATATTCTAATTTTCATTTGCTTCAGCTTCAGCTTGGAGGAATAATACATCTTATCAGCCAAAATTTCATTCAATGTATTTTTCTGTTCAAATATCTGGTAATTTTTGTGTTTGTTTGTTTTTTCTTTAGCGGGTGCTATTTTCTGAAGAGGCTGATAATAACGCATGGTGTGAAATATTGAATCTCACCCCCAAGGATAGTGACCAGAAAACATCACGAACTTCCCCTGTTTTGGGTGGGAAAAGTGATGGAAGTTACTGGTACTGGGCTGACTCTCAGAAATTGGTTTGTAGAACACCCCGAAGGAGGAGTTCTTTGCGGAGGGGTGAGAAATCCCAATTGAAATTGCCAAGTAGAAGATCACAGTTTTCTGAATGCAAGAAGTCGGAAAATTTCTTGTTTGATACTAATTTTTCACAAGAGTCAATTTTTAAAAGTAGTAATGACAGAGATGAAGAATTGGGGGCTCATAATGGAGAGAGACTTGAGAAAGGGAAAGCAAATGATATTCATGTCTTAGAAAGCCCTCTCATGATAAGAAATAACACTGAAAACAATTTGTCTAAGAAACACACTCCTAGTGTTACTCAGCAATTTTCTCATGATCTCTCTGCAAGCATGCTTGAAGAAGTTTGTCTAGCAACTGAAATTATGAGTTCTGTTAAAAATTGTGATGACATTCAAGATGTGTTTCAAAATGATTCATTTTCAGAAGTAAAGGAGTGCTCCAAGATAATAAAAAACTATGAGTCTTGTAACGTTGATGAAAGTTACATACAAGAATCTAATTTCAGGGATATGGCTTCTATAACTTCCCAAGCTAAAAGGACAGTACATATTTTAGGCAAAGATGTACAGACTAGAGACTCTGTATCAGAAGAAAAAGAATCTAAAGAAAATGTGAATGTAAATGATCCATCATCTCCTGTAGTTAGTTTACAGAAATATAGAATAACAAACCGATGTAATTCTGTGTTGTATTCCAAATCTTCCCAGTCACACATTTTGAATGAATCGGTTGATGGTTCTGCTCTGTATGAGAAAATAATGAAAGCAGCATTAATTTTTGGAAGAGGGTGAGAAGGTAAGAAGCAATTTGAAAAACTAAAGAAGTGCAAGGCCCTGAAAGTCTCCTGAAGAATTTGTTGCATTTAGTGTATTGAAAACAGTAAAGAAACAGAAAACACATCCAGAGAGAAAAATGTTTCTATCAAACTTTGCAAAAGTTGGTGAGGAATATAGGTAATGAACACAATGAAAGAGAAAATCTCTATATTCATTCAGAACAATTCAAAGACTCAAAATGCCCTCCATTATGTTCTCCAGAATTGCCTGAAGTGTCCAGTGTTTGTGATAAAATGTCCACAAGGGGGATTCCAATTGCTGTAACCAACAATGTTTTTCAGGCTAACACCAGGAAATCTCTGAGAGAGGGTAGCAGAGAAAGTGTGTGTATCAAATCAAATGACTATGTACTGAAAAATGAAAATGGAAGTGAACAAAGTTGTGGAACAATGAAAACAGAGGGACAGAAAAGTATGCTACATATGAAAGAATCAAAAAGGTATCCAAACCTAAAATCTGAAGAAACTGAAGACCTTGATCTTCTTATGAAGCTATTAGATAATGGGATGATCAGTTGTACTGAAAACAATTTAATAATTGAACGAGAGAAGGTTGAAAACATACGAGACAAAATGATTGAAAATTCATCAAAAATGCAAGAGGAATCTGAATTGCAGTTATCACAAGATGTATTTGAAGATTGTGATGCATTGGGATCATTGGCTAATAACCACACACATTTTGTGACACCAGGAGTTCAGGAGGTAGTACATAAAGATTTTTCAAAAAATCTTCATTCATCACAGTATTGGCCTTGTTTTTCAGGTGAACTTCCAGATGAAATGTTTGAAAATAGGGAAAATGATAAAAAATATCAGGATTCTGAAAAACAAGTGACAGTTGAAAATAAAGAAGATATGTCTCCTCCAATTAATAATGTCAGTAATGAGAAAGAGAGAGTTCCCATGCATGAAGTAGAAAAAAATAATACTTTGGCTTCAGTAGATTTCTGTGAATCTGTACATACATGTTTCAAAGATAATTCTGTGAAAAGAGCTCAAGAATTTTCCACAGAGAATGCAATGTCTAATATCTATGTTAAGGAAAATTTGAATATGAAAAATGCAAAAGAGGTAGGATGTGATATTGATTCAATGAATCAAGAGTTGTTGGAGGATGCTTTTCCCCAAATTTCTCGTGAATTGAGGGAACCATTTTCTATAAATCATGAGCTTCATTCACCAATAGATCAATCAACCAATCATGAGAAACCAAAATCAAGGGAAACTAAAATGAAATATGAAGATATTAAACCTGAGCTTATGGGGTTCTCAACAGCAAGAGGCAAAAGAATATCTGTTTCTGAAGAAGCTATGAAGAATGCCTATAAATTATTAGAAGAGTGTGATGATGATGTTAAAAATATTGTACCTGAAAACATTTTAGAAAAGTCTTTGGCCTCTTGTGTGAAATTTGAAAACCAAGTTATTGTGAAGGCGATAAACAAGCTTACTGTAGACCCAGAAAAAGCACTGAGACCGACACAGAAGCTGTTGAGAAGCTGTGATGACAGCACTTCTAAGAAAGCTTTTAATGTTGAAAGATGTTCTTCTCTCGTTGATGGGAAAGGCCAATCTTTGGAAGTTACTACAGAGGAATTATGTGAATTTAAAAAGCCCTTGCCTGGAATCGCTATTATATCTAAAGAATCATCTATTAAAACTAAGAAGAGACTTAAAGTATGTAAAGCTACATCTCAGTGTAGATCCAAGATCCAAGAAGTTCCGGCGAAAGAAGAAAATGTTCTTGCCCAGGAGTCATTTGCCAAAGCTAACGGTATGAACATAGGTCTTTCAGACCTAATGTGTCAGGGTTGCACCACTGGCCAAGGAAAGAAAATATCTGTCTCAAAGGAAGCTGTGGAGAGGGCACAGATGTTTGAAGAATGCTGTGAGAACAATAGATCTTCTGATTCCCAGGATTTCACTTCTATAAAAGGCAAGAAACATGAAGACTCAGAATCTAGTGAGCAAGATACCACAGTTGAAGGAAATTCTGTTGCCTCAGTACATGGATTCGAGGGATTTTCAGCTGCAAATGGAAAAAATATAACTGTTCCAAAAGAGTCATTAAGAAAAATGCAAACAATATTTGAAGAAAGTTGTGAATGTACTGATGTTGAAGATCTTTTACTTATTAGCAATAATGTTGGGAATTCAGATAATTTTTATACAAAATCAGCTCCTCAAAAGATGTCATTACTCAGTTATGATAATTCTCTGCAGTGTGAATTCAAAACGTCCTCTAATGCTAATGCGAAGAAAGAAGCAGTGTCTGAGTACACTACAAAGAGAAACATTGATGAAGAAAATAGTAAACATTTAACAAAAAAATCTTTTGTAACTGAAGATTTGTTTACCATGGAGAGTGAAGTAGCATTATTAGACTGTTCCAAGAGACCAAATAAAATGTTAGAAAGATGTGATATGAAACCAGAATTTAGTTTTTCTACTGCTAGTGGTAAGAAAGTAAACATTTCTGAGGAATCATTGAAAAAAGGTCAGGAATTGTTTAAAGAATGTAAGGAACCAACTGAGTCTCTAGAATTTTTAACTACTAGTGATAATGTTCCAAAAATAGACAATCATCAAAACTCTCCTAATCACCAACAACCACAAAATCACGCACCTTCACATGTGGAACTAGAAAGAAATCCTGATGAGAAAAGTGCTTCTTTAAAGAAGAAAACTATGCGTAATTCTGAAAGAAAGTTGACAGATCATGAAGAGGTTTCATTTGAACTTAAAGCATTTCAAAATATTTCATCTGCTCACAACAAATTTTTAGGTGAAGATCATTCTCTTAACAGGCAAAGTACTAAATTATTAGGGAAATGTACTCTGAAGTATTCCACCAGTGGAAACATGAAAAGTGTTGCAGAAGAATCATTGAAGAAAGCACAGTCATTATTTGAAGACGTTGAGGAACATACTGGGTTTCGGAATTGCTTCCCTACATATAACAACACTTCAGGGTTAAACAATCATGAAATAAAGGCAGATGGCACTTCAGGAAAAGCAATTCTGCAACCTGAATTTAAAGGATTTGCCACTGCTGGTGGGGAGAATGTTGGTTTTTCAAAAGAGTCATTAGAAAAGGCAAAAACCTTATTTGAGGAATGTGATGTACATACTGAAATACAGGAATTGTTACCTACAAACAATGCTTTAAGGATGAATAATTCTAAAGTGAAAAATGAAGTTTATGGTTATTCTGCAGCAAAAGAAAAAATATCTATTATTAATACATCACCTAAGAAGGCTCTGGAGCCAAAAAATCATAAGGTGTATAATGAAATAGAAGATTTTAACCTTGCTAGAAATGTTAAAACAGAATCGTACATTCATCAAATAAAATCTAATGTATTATTAGTAAATGATTCTTCTGTGCACCCTGAATTGAAAAGATTTTCCACTGCTGGTGGGAAGTCTATAAGTATTTCTGAACAATCAATGAAAAAGGCACAGAAAATATTTGAAGAATGTGAGCAACTTCCTGAAGGCATGGAAATTGTTCATGATAATAATGAACTTGGGCCAAACATTCCACAAAAAAAGTCATGTGTCTCTTTACAAGGACGTGATACAACTCCACAGCCTACACTCAGAGTATTCTCTTCTGCCAGTGGAAAGAATGCAACAGTTTTTGAAGAAGCTGTTGAGGAGGCGCAGAAACTTTTGTGTGAAGAGAACATTTCCAAAGAGCCTTCTGCTGTCCCAGATGTAACGAATCAAAAACGTGCTGCGTCATTTCCACCTCGCATAAGATCAAAAAAGTCTTTAGGTGGACGTACCACCCACAAAAGACAGGAAGTTCATAGACTGTCCTTGACCAGTGGGAAGGCAGTTGCTATTTCTGAAGAATCATTGGAGAAGGTTTGTAGGGATTGTGAGGGTACGCCAGACCCTATGAAACCAACTGTATGTTCAGTAAGCAACAGAATTTCTATGAAACGGCCCTTTGAATCTCCTGAGGATTCTGCAATGTCTCTTGAATTTATAGCTTCCTGTTCTTCCAATGTCAAAAAACTACCACATTCAGAGGAACGGCAGGCCAAGGCCAGGAAAATGCTAGATGAAAGGGTAACAATTATATTGAATAAATCAGCTGACTTGCAGAAAAATACCCCGTCAGGCAAGAAGGAATATTCTGCCAGTGAGAAGTCTTTGAAGGATCTCCATGAATTTTTGCCGGCACAAACATTCCAAGGATTCTCTACTGCCAGTGGAAAGAAAGTAAATATGTCTGAAGAATCAATGAAGAAGGCTCAGAAAATTTTCCAGGAATTTGAAGAAAGTGCTACGTCAAATAATCTCCCCTATCCATCAGAAATTCCTGTGAGCGTCAAAGGGTTTGTTTCTGCTAAAGGAAAGAAAATATCAATTTCCAAAGAATCTTTGAAGAAGGCAGAGAAAATGTTTCAGGAATGTGAAGAAGGTGCTTCTTTGTTAAACCTTCCAGATCCATCAGAAATTTCTGTAGGCGTCAAAGGATTTGCTTCTGCCAAAGGAAAGAAAATACCTGTTTATGCAGAATCTCTCAAGAAGGCACAGAAAATGTTTCAGGAATGTGATGAAGATGCTACATCACTTAAGATCTCTCAGACGCCAAAAGTTCCTGTTGACGTTGATAAGGGTACAGCAATGAAGCTATTGAAGACCCGACCTGAATTGAAAGATTCTACTGATCTGGCATTCATAGGATTTTCTACTGCTAGTGGTAAGAAAGTAAATATTTCTGAAGAATCATTGAAAAAGGCACAAAAATTGTTTGAAGAATCTGATGAGAGCACACTATTGAAACCTTCCTGAGACATCTGAAATCCCATTGGCTATCGGTTAGATGGGGTCTACTGTGAAGCCAAAAAAGACACCTGTGTGAGTTCCACGCGACCCAATTTCTTACAGATCAGGTTTTCAAAGGATTTTCTTTACTGCTAGTGCGAAAAAAAAACTAAATATTTCCTGAAGAATCGTTTTTGAAAGAAGGCGCAAAAAAAATTGTTTGAAAGGAATTCTGATGCAGAGCACACTATTGAACTCTTCCTGCAGGACCATTCTGAAATCCCTTTTGGGTATGGGGCTTAATGGTTTCTACTGTGAAGCCAAAAAAAGACCCCAAACCATTGTGAAGTTTTTCAAAAGGGGGGGGGACCCCCAATTCTTTACCAAGAATTCCAGGGTTATTCTTCCCTTCTCCCGTGCCATG